GATTTTTGTATTAATAGTATTGATGCTAATAATAGTAATAATAATAATAATAATGATTATGATAATAATGTATGATAATTGTAATAAAAACGAAGATGACAATAATAATAAAAATTATGATAATGATAATTATGATCATATCGATAGAAAAGGTTATAATAGTCAAAACGTTAATGACATTGTTATGATATTAATGATTATTGCGATGGTAAAAATAGCGATGGTTACGATTATAAGGATAATAATAATCGTAGTATTGATAGTAATGGTTTTTATGGTACTGACGATAATGATAATAATAATAATGATGGTTATGGTGATAAAAACGATGATAATGATGATGGTGATAGTAATAATAATGATGGTTATAATAATGAGGATGATAATAATGGTAACGGTAATGGTTGTGATAGTGACAAGGATGATGATGACAATGATGATGATGGTGGCAATAATGATGATGAAAATGCTGATAATGAGTATAATAATAATGATAATAATTATAATGATGGTTATGGTTAAAATAGTGATAGTGATTATGATAATTATGATTATTATTATGATAATGTTAATAGTAATTATGGTGATTGTAATGATAATAATGATTATTATCATTACAATCACCATAATTACTATTAACATTATTATGATAATGTTAATAGTAATTATGGTGATTGTAATGATAATAATGATCGTCATAGAGATGACAATGATGGTAATAAAAATAATAATGATATTGATAAAGAGCGCGATGATGATGATGATGATGATGATGATGATGATAATGATGATGATGATGATGATAATGATAATGATGACTATGATAATGATGACGATGATAAAGATAATAAAGATAATGATGACCAGAATGATGATAGTAATAACAATAATAAGAATGATGATAATGATGATGATGATGATGATGATGATAATGATGATGATAATAATAATGATAAAGATAATGATAATGACTATGACGGTGTAGATAATAATGATGACGATAATGATAATATTGATGAAGATGATAGTAACAGTAATAGTAATATCTATAGAAATGATAAAGATAATAAAGATAATGATGTTTCTTATGATGATGAAAATTATGATAATACTTATAATTTTAATCGTTATTATGATAATGATAATAATAATGATATTAGTGATCTTGATGGTAACAATGGTGGTGCTTAAAATAATCAAGTTAGTTATAATGATAATAGAGATGACGATGATGATCATAATGGTGATGGTCATGTTGGTGATGGTAATGATAATGTTACTAATAATGATGATGATAGTGATAATGATAATGATAATGATTATGGTAATAATAGCAAAAGTTATAATGGTGATAATATTGATGATGATAATAATACTGATATTGATGTTGTTTATAGTTATAATGGTTATAGTTTAAATAATAATGTCAGTTATAATGATAGTAATAATGACGGTTATGATTTTAATAGTGATGGTTATGTTGGTTATGGTGATAATATTGTTACTAATGATGATGATATATTCCATGATAGTTGTAATAGTGATGATATAAATAGTTATAATGATTAGAATATGTATAATGATGATCATAATAATGATAAAAAATAATAATGTTGATAATGATTGCGACAATAATGATAGTAATGGTCAAAACAATAATAATGATGATGTAGTAATAGTAATGATGATAATGGTAATAATAAGAAAAAGACAGTGGTTGTAATAGTGATGGTTATGCAGATGATGGAGAATAAAGATAAAAATGATAAAGTTATTGACTATGATAAAGAAGCTAACAAAGCTAATATGATTAATAATAAAAATAAAAATAATTACAGTAATGGTTTTGTTATGACGATAATGATGATAATGATTTCAATTATTACTATCATAATGTGAATATTATTAATGATGACGTTTATGATAATAATGACGGTGTTGATGTTGATGATGATAATGATGATAATGATAACGACGATGATAACGATAATGAATATGATGACGATGATGATGACGATAATAATGATGATGATGATAATGATATTGATGATGATGATGATGATATTAATAACGATTATAATGATAATCATAAAAATTGCGATGGTAATGGTTTTGATGGTGATGTTGATCATGATGAAGATAATAAATATGATTATAATAATGTAAATGATTATAATAAAGATAATA